GATTTGGAGAGTTGCAGTCAGGACCAGCCTTCGAGAAGCTGACTGAAAAATTTCCATCCTTCTGACTTAGTCTTCCTACTAAAAGCAAGTTTTATTGACGAATGACTTAAGATACCAAAACCACTCGCTTAAGAAACACAAAAAGTGTCACAAATCCATAGAAACGGGCTGGGAGAGAAACACACTCCTGTATTCAACAAACAGATAAAGATAATTTGTTATTTCTCAACATATTTGAACCTATTGAGTTTTGTTTTATTGCTTCTTTTACTTACGCTTGTGTGATATCACCTTCACCCCGGATTCAGCTTGCACTATGGCCCGACACCTGATAGATTTCGTCTACCTAAGATCAAAGTCGCAATGTGGGCAGGTTAGACTTGAGATCAAAGTAGTAACTTCGGTAACCAGACGTTGGAAGTGAGCTGGGAACGACAAAGCTGGTATCGAACAGGGAACGACCAGATCAACCGGGACACGTCAGCAACAAGGAGTCGACCACAAATGCTGGTGGAAGAAACCTTACAGCTTTGTACCGCAGCTGGGAGTTGACCACGGGCCGACAGAGGACTTCACATATTGGCGCTGCGACAACCAGTGTGTGTCACACACTTTTTCATCCCTAGAATTGAAACTAAAAAAGAAAATAGTTAGTAACTGCAGTATGTCTTTCATTGAAAAACAATAAATTAATTTTAAAACTTATATTAAAAATATTTAGTAAAATTTGACGTAAAAAAAAAAATTTTGAAAATGCAATGATGATGGTCAGTCAGGGAATTACGGGCTTGCAGAATGAAAACAAATTTTTTGAGGGCATATTATTGTCGTCAGGGGAAATAACTCTTAAAACGTGTGACATTTTAATGTCATGTCTGATCAGCCATATATTTGGAAAAACGTTTTTATGCACACTCAAAAAAAATGTTAAATTCTTTTTTAAAATGCAGGGCATTGCTGATTGTAATAAGCTTTCAAATTTATTATCTGTAAAGATAGATCTACTTAATAATGGCATTCCATAAACAGTATGGATTGAAACTTAATTCTAAAATATTTAACAACTTTATCACATTTTGTATTTAAAATAAAAAAAAATAAAATAAAATTCTTGCAAAAATTCATTTTTCGTCAGAAAAATATTTTGGCTTCAGACAATATTGTCCTTAACATATATTATGCATAAAAGCCATTAAAAATGTTTTAATTAAATAATGTCTTAGTTTTATTAGGCTTTGTATGTTACAATTTAGAGCTGATTTTTGTAAATGGGATAAGATTTTACAAAAAAAGAAATCGATGATTTATGTTCTTCAAAGACTTCTACTTCTAACTAATATAATCAAAAGATACAGCGTTTAATTTCTCAAGTTTTCATGAAATTAAGTAACAAGGGTGGTAATAGATGTTTAAAAAAAAAAAAAAATATTACCATGACTTTCTGTTAAAAAAAAAAAAAATATAAACACGTCTAAAATAATTTCATTCATTTGTGAATAAGTTCTGAAAGTTTCATTAAAATCCGACAATTATTTGAATTTTGCAAGAATTTCCAAAGCAATGTGTTTTTAATGTCAAAAAGACGCTAAATTTCCTAATACTAATTTTTGGCCAACCTGCTATTGCTAAAAGACAAAAACAAGATTTTTAACCCAAATTTCAGTTGTGTTAGAAAGGATGAAAAAATTTAATAAATAATCAAAAAATATTTTGGTCTTTCCTCTTAATAATAACAAACATTTTGACGATAAAACTTTGTTTTCATTAAGCTTAGAGCATTTTTTTTCATCTCAGTATGCTAATTTTTTAGTGATTTCGTGGAGATGCATAGTTTTGAGGGTACTACCAAATGCACTCTTGACTGCTTTATTGGAAAAATGTGAGATGTTCTAGTTTTTAACAACATTTGCACTGAAATAAGTGGTAAACTAGTACACCATTTATACCCACTGAAACTTATTTTTCTTAGACCACAATCATGAAGTTTATTGTTACTGCATTGATGCATGGTTTTGTGTGTTATATTGGCACTAAGAATGTAAATAGAACCTGAGAATGTATAATTATCACTAATTTAAATTTAGGAATTGCTGACATTCTGTAATTAGAATCTGGGGAGTGTTTTTTTAATTCTGATTTCAAAATGGGAATTCTCTGATTGCAAATGAAGATTAAAGCCTTTCACTTGATTTTCATTTTTGTTATAAAACTTACATTTGTAAATTAAAAATGGATACTTCAAAATCATTACTTGTTTTTCATTGTTTTTAGACATTGATATCTTCTGTTTAAGAAATATAGAACTAAAGATCTTTACAGTTTCTTTAAAAATAATATTCCATGGATGCCAGGGGAGGATATAATGTTGAAATTTTAGTGTTCCCTGATTTCTTGAATTTAGCAAAATTTGTTTGTAAAAGTTTTCATACTTAAACAATATTTCCCCATGACTAGATAATGTAATAATAAAATTAATCAATAGAATTGATCATAGTGTTGCCCTCAAACCCTCCCTGTTTGTCCAAGACATCCAGTACTGCGTCTGATCAGTTAAGTGATTGCTTTGATCCCGGACCTAACCCATTCCAGATTGTGATTTGATTTGATCACAAGCAGGCCAAGATCGAATTGGAGGAATTTTCATATTGGGCTGGTCCAAGCAGGGCAAAGACACACAGGAAAACAAAAAGAAAAATAACACTCAAATAATGTAAAATATATATACTATTTTTATAAGAAGTCCTTCATACAATAGTTGGTTAATTGTCATTAGTCTACGAGTTTGCATGTAGGCATTGTTTATTTGGTAAAGTTTGTTTTGCTGACTTGATGAAGTTTGACACAAGGCTGGTGTTGGTTATCACTGATAGTGGTGTGTCTCATACCCAGTGGCTGGAACAGTCTGTCTTCTCATCTTGAGACATTCATATTTATTGACGCTTACCCAAAACTGGTGTGGGGTGGCTGGTTATCTAGCATTTTCTCTACCTGTTAGAAAGAACCCCGTCTCCATTGTTTGGGTTCTAGGAATTTCTTCCTAATTTGGGAGTCTCCCCCTTTTCTCAGGTGACAGTTGTAGGCATTAATCCACCCCAAAACTTTTTCCTTCTCTTCTTAGCATCTCCCACTAATACTCCACCAGGCAGCTCCTCCACCTTCCTTGGTGTCTCATCTGTGCCTGCCACCCAGCAAAGATTAATTCCAAGTTCGTTAATTAAAAGAATTATTATACCAAGCTTATCGTCTTATGAGAAAATCTTTTGACATCAATGTTGGTTTTTCCTTGTTTTAAAGTTGAACACAAAATAGATGGCTTTCCCCTCCATTAGTGACATTCTCCAAACAAGAAAACCTTTATATCCAAATTATTTTTTTAAAATCTTATCCAATTCTCTCTACTTCTGGTTTCACAGGTAGCACTCATAGAGGCAGTCATCCATCAAATGTCAAAATATCGCTAGATAACCCTGTCGTAAAAATTAAGTCAAGGAATTATTTCAAACCTGTTGCCGCCACAGAAAAATTCCCTATATTGGGTTTATATTTTTCTTGTCCAAAATCGAATACATAACCTTTCCTGTCAGCAACATTCTCTGAGGAAACTTTTATCTCTGAATTGTGACCAAATCTTATTTGATTGTCTCCACTTCTGGTTCCATGGCCAGCACCTATGGTGGTGGTCATTAATCATTTGTCAAAATATTGCTATATGTCCATGTCATAAAAATTAAGTGTTGTTTTTAACCGGCCAGTTGGTTCTTTTAGAAATTTCAGCTTTCTGAGAAATAAAATCTTTATTTCTCATGATAGTTTATTAGTATATCATTCTTGCTATCCAAAAGCCTTATAATTATTTGCCAGTAACAATTAGTATCACATCTCTATCAATTTCTGTTAAACTCTTTTTGTTATGGGTCGCAACAATTGCACATGTTATTCAAATGATACTGTAATTTTAATACTTGTCAGTTTGGATTTAGAGTTTGGTATTGCAGATGTATTATGGTACTAAAGTTTCTATAAGAGAATTCTTAACTGACTTCCTAAAATCTTACCAAATATCAGATATTTTTTTCTTAAGGACTTTTTGGCTATAACAGGAACTTTTCAGCATCCCTTCATATATTCTGTGATATGACATTCTTTTATAGAATTGAAAGTGACTGTTATTAAAACAGTATGCCTTCTGTAACAATATAGTGGCTATTTATTGTTAAGGTGTCTATTTTCTGCAAGACTGTTTTCATATTTGTGTTTGCATTCTTTGATATCTCAATATCCTTTACAATCTTTTGTGTACAGACAAAAAAGTTTAATGTTAGCAAATACTTGAAAAATTTCTAAATATATACTAGTACTATTTTTGATCAAAGATTTGATTTTAAGTTTGCACTGAAAAGATCTTTGTCAAATTTGATGCACAAATCCTAACATATTACATTGAGCTGCGTGGATGTAAATAGATTTTTGTGAATTTTTAAATATTTATCAAATAAGAATATTTACAAAGTATGAATCTTTAAGTTAATTCACAGCTACATGGTGGCTTTCATTAACATATTTACTGTTATAAGATGCACATGTGGCGTGTTGCTTATTGTCACTGTTATCTATCCCATGATTTTATTTAAATCAATATAAATAGATAGTTACAGCAATTTCTGCCTTTAAACAATATACAGGAGGCTTCATGTGGTTTGCTGTCTGGTGCAAATATCCAAAGTAGCAGTGAATCTATTAATCCTGCACAGTTTGTAAAATTTTACTTGAATAGTCAGCTTAATATATCCTCATTGAAACTTTTTAATTATATAAATAAAAAAAACATCACTAAAATTTTTTACTTATTCACCTTGACTCTAATTCTGTCATTATGTTTTGCTTTTTTCCAATTTTTGAATATCATGTTTGCTTATGAAGTAAAGTATATTTTTTTATATTATTTTATACATGTTTTATTTCACACTTTGTCTAAAAATTTCATTTTATATAATATTTAGGGTGCATATCCTGCTAGATTGAAGAAAGTACTTATTGTAACTGCACCGCTTTGGTTTAAAGCACCTTTTAAAATACTGCGACTTTTTGTACGGGAAAAACTACGTGATAGAGTAAGTAATTATTTGTTATTTTAATACTTTTGACATGTTTAGAAAATTGAAAAAATCTTATTTTATTTGGATAAAAATATATTTTTTTACTGATATTAGATAAGATTGACTTTTGACACTTGTTTTTAGCATTTTAATTACACTGGGCAACAAAAAATGTTACTGTTTGCTACCCAGACAAATGATATTGTACTAGACTAAATTGAGTACATTGATTCTTAATCTATACTCTGAATTGTTCTAGAAATGCTTTTTAAGATGCTTGCTTGTACTTGCATTGAGCTGATCTCTCTCAGAAACCAGCAGTAGTTACCCATCATGTTTGGGTTGAACTAGCTTTGATGCCTTGATTCAATTTCAGATATGTCTTGTTTAAATCTTTCACTTTTCACATCACTTATCAAAAAAAAGAGTTAACGATACAAAAAGGGAATTTTAAGAGAAATCCTGCATTCCATTCTTTGATTCACCCTTAGCACATTTATTATCACAATTTTCAGCCCTCTGAGATCCAAGTCAGTTCTTTACAACTAACAACATGAATGAATCCCGCACTTCCAGCTCAAGTGGATACTAATAACCTATTAATATATAATTTTTACTTTGAACAAAATATATGCACACCTGGCATTAAAAACATGACCTACAAGTGCAATTCTGAATCTTGATTAAGAAACTGTGTATCCAGTTTAGTCTGGATAAGAAACAAATTTTGTTGTTTCTTAGTCCTGTACATATGTATAGCACAAAATACTCAAATAATTCTGAATATAAATTTATAATCAACATACTCTATTTAGTCTAAAACATACGCTGTTATTCCCCATTATCAAAATCTTTGTGGCCCAGAAAAAATAGGTTGCACATATTTTTAGATTTTATCTCAGTAGAAATTTGTTTATATTTTCTGTTGGAAGTTTTGAATAAATGTGTGATTTAAATGCTTAATATATAGTTCATATACATATACTCATCCTATACTGAAGTATATTTAAAATGCATAAAATGAGATATATATATATATATATATATGAGACAGAGAAATTCAAAATGCCAAATATATTAAGGCAAATTCAATTAGTTGGCTAGAATGAATCATTTAAGTATGAATTAAGAATGTTGACTGTGGTGCATTGCTTTGTAATGTGTTAACATTTTTATTTTTTTTAATTTAAGTTTTATTTCATAAATTTTAATGACCTCATTAAAAAGTAATGATTACATGTTCTCAGCTATTTTGAGGACAGTGTGAAAGAATTTGGTCTTACTGGCTGAAAATATTTTGCATGAGAAAATGTGTTATTACGTTTATTTTGTATGGATATATTTTCTTTGTTGTTTCTTATTTTTTCTTTTACAGGTGTTCACTGTAAATCTTTCTGAGTTGCCTACCCATATTCCATGTGATTCTATTCCTAAACAACTTGGAGGTTATTTAGTGCCTAATCATACTGGTTGGTTAAAGATTTGTTTTCAAGTAGCTACTGGCCAAAATCCTGATATGTCTTCTTACTTTATTAGTCGTATAGCCCACCAGGGGAATGCATCAAAAGAAGTACTTCAATCTGGTACTTCAACAGATACTGATCCTCACATCTTCATCAGTGATCATGACTCAGAAGAATCTAAAGAAACAGTGTGTGAGAAATATAATGATGAGGATAAGGAAAAGGAAGCAGAAGATAGAGCAAAAAAAGAGAAAGAAGTGATAGTGGAAAAAGAAATGTTGATATGTCAGAAAGTCCATCAGTCTGACTTTCGATCTTCTGCTGACACTCGAAAGCGGTCATCAGACAGTGATAAGAATCAATCTGAAATTAATGATCCAAGTCTTCCATGCAAACGCAGACCTGTGTCCACCAATTCCCAAATATATGAGGAGAGCTTGCATGTTCCTACTGATAATGGCATTGATATAGAAGCCTTAGCTGAGCGTGTTAGGACTCTCCGAAAAAAAGGACTTCAGCAAGAATATCTCAGTATCAGATCAGAATCCCCAACTGGCAGTTTTCATGTTTCAAAGTAAGTATTAAATATATGCAGATAGCATTCAATGAATGTGTTTGGAATCTATTTAAAATTTAAGAAATGTCTCAAACCTAAATTAGACTACAGGAACTATTCATGATTATTTTTAGTGGTCTGGCTTTAGTCTAATATATTAAAATATAAAAATAAAGTGATTATTCATCTTTTATAAATTCGCATAAGGCTAAATTTTATCTATAGGTCCCTACCTTACATCAGAACAAAACAACCTGAATTATTTACTCATAATTATGGTTTCTTATTTTATTATCAGCTTTTTACACACACACACACATATATATATATATATATATATATATATATATACACACACACACACACACACACATATAATGGACTCTCCTGTTGGTTTTGACGTATGAGGATCTGACAGCTTAGTTGATTCAGTTATGAAATTTTGTGCGATAATCTTAAGTGGCATTTAAGACCTGCTAGTGATTTACAAAGGAGGCCACATATGGAGCAAGAGTGAGGATTATGAGATCAGTTAGATTGGCTGACCTTTTAGTTCTTGCTCTCGCTTCTTGAAGATGATTCAGACAAGCAGACTGAAAACTACTGAGTCCACTAAAACACGTTGATCTCCATTTTACCCACTCCAAGGCTAAACTTTAAAAATCAGGTTATCAGTTGAATCTGCTACCTTGGTTTCAACCTTATGGTATCCTCAGGCGATTTTTATCAAATGACCTGTTAATGTTTTTTTTTTCTTTCTTTCAATAATGAACACTATATTATTTTATTTTTAAAAATAAACAAACGTACGACATTGGGTGTAATAGAAAGGGAGGAGGAGGATGTGAAGAAGGAAGGAGAAGAAGAAATAGGGGGAAGAAAAGAATAGCAAGGGTATTAAATGTATCAGTTGGAGGGGTGTAATTGAAATGTTATTTTTTTTTTTTAATCCAGCCTTATATGTGCTTAAGAGGAATTACTTAATATGTATGCAAGGACTAAAGACTTTGATTTCTGGTTCAAAAGGTTCTTTAGATACAAAAATATCAGAATTGCTAATTTTTTTGTTGGTAGAAGTTGCAACTATTGTTGTGGTTGTTATAAGGCTTCACTTTTTAAAAAATTTTCCAGCATACACTGTTGTTTTTTTTTTTTTCCGGCATCCCTGTTGTTTTTTCTTTTAAGCTCTACACATAGCTAGTTTGGTAGGGCACTTAAGACTTAGTAGTTTGAATGATGACATATGATTGTACTATCTATGTTTGAAAGTATCTTCAGTCCATCCTATGTACATTTTATTTTGGCCATTAATATCTGTTACTTCTGCTTTCTAGATTATTGCTTCTGTTTTACAAGCTTCATCTAATGGAAATCTATTATTTTTACAGTTGCATAAATTACTAGCGTTAACTATATTTTGCTGCATGTTAGTTTTAAAATTTTTGGTGTTGTGTCTATTTATTATTGCTTCTAAATTACTAGTGCAGCTGTAGCTTAATTTAATGTAATTAATTTTGAAATTTTTAAGTAAATTTTTAACTGCAATGTAATTTTTAAAAAATGAATTAATAGTTTTAGCAATCTAATATTTTATTGATTTTTAGGTACTTTAGCTTCATCTGAAGATGCTTTCTGAAAAGATAAAAAATAAAATTTACAATAATATAACAAACTAAATTTAAAATTTCATAACTGAAATTATATAAAAATTATTAATAAATAAAATTTCATAACAGAGGTACCTCTAATTATTAGATACCTACCTTATATTGTTTCAGAAATGAAAGATTAATGAAATTATCATGAAATTTTATAGTATTTTATTTATTATTAATTTTTATATTTTTTTAAGTTACTTTTTTTTTATATTCCACATTTTCAGTAATTGTTATATTATGTCAGTTATGAAAGTGTAAAACTATTTTATTAAATTTTTATAGTATTTTACATTTTCTTATTAATTACGTAATATATTTTTATTATTTTATTTTAATCTACTGCCAATAGAAATTTTTTAAAAATTGCTATGTAACTGATTGAAAAACTTTCAGGAACATTTTGTGCCCCCCTCCACCCACCACTATTTTCCTATAGCTTGGGACCTAACAGGTGCTACCACCCTGGGTTAGGGTAGACCTGGGAACAACAGCAATTAAGAGGTGGTTCCACATTCCTCAAAACCTCCAATGTAACACTCTGAGTCATTGCTGCCAGATGTAGTTTGTCATACCCAGGATGGGTTGTTATTTTGTGGTGCCATCATTCTGGCTGGAATTTTACAGTGCTAGGTTCTGTATAATATCATCAGTGCTAACTTGATATTTATCCAATTGATAGTCTTCATCTACATTATTATCATGAAGGTAGTAAATCTGATAATATGGATTGGAAAACTCCATGACATAACCTACAAATTCTTTGTTGGCAACATCAATTGTCCAAATATGTTTGATGATACGGCCAACTATATCACCAATGAATATTTTGTGAATATCTTCCACACAGGGATATGTGGGAATTCTGCAATGATAACAAATTGTTCTGCTTTGTAGTTTCTTTAATTTATTCTAGAGGTTAGCTCTTTTTATTTTTTCTCCTCTCAAGTGCTTTTCTCTTAACCTCCAAACAATTTCTGTTTTTACACCTTCTTGCTTTGACTTTCATTGGGTAATTATTTCCCTACTATACTGTTGTGTTTCAGCTTCCATATCATCAATGAATTCCTTGACATTATTGCCTTTTAGGTTATTTATGTTAGAGACATAAGCATTAGGAGCTTGCTGCTTTTTTTCACAGTATTCACTGATGATACTTTCAGCTAGCAAGGTGTGTTTAACTGAGGATAAGACTGATTCAGTAGAAGCCTTGATTGTGGTGAAAGATTTTTGCTCTTGCCTTTTTAAAACTTCAACAGTGCCTTCTAAACAGCCAGTTATCGTTCTTTTAAATAATACTGAATTTTGTCAGGGGATCAGCAAATTTTCAATATCTTTGGCTGACAATATATTGCCAACAAAATGTGCATATGGTCCTGGATTTGTATCTGCAGATTTGAAATGACACCCTTTAATGTTTGCATGGTGTTAATTGGATCCTTTTCTTTTTTTCAAATCTGTGTAGAAGTTACTCATCCAAGGCCCTGGTAGCATCTTCCCTATGATTCCCAGCACTTGCATTTCCCTGCAGGTTCCTGAAGTAAAGTTTGTAACTGTAGAATTGTTTCATTGGTTCCAGAATGTCCAAAGACAAAATTTTTGACTTTGTCAAATATCAAAAAATAAACTCTTCCCAAGTGGAATATAATGTTCAGAATCTAGGGATTAAGGACAAGGAAAGTCCCTTTTTGCCAGAAAAAAGACTTCATGGTATTTACTTGTTTTAATTTGTTACTATATCTTAATGAATTCATAGCCACAATAATCTTCCATGCTAGACACTCACTACTATGTAAGGCTGCATCATTGCTCTCACATTCTTGGAGCACCTTCCTTTTTTTTTTTTTTTTTTTACTTAAAGCTGCTTCTAAAGGATGTAGACTGCAGTTTAGTTCAATTAGATTTGTTCCACTCATTTTCCAGTAAAAAAACAGTTAAATGGTTGACAGGAGCTTGGTCTGTTAAGTAGCATTTTATTTTTGATATAACCTTTTGGGAACTGTCAGCAACACTTACGGCTGTAGATAATGCACATAGTTCAGCCAGGTTGCTGATGCACTCAAAAATATGCTGCTTATATTCTTGTTCAGTCCCTCCTGGAAGATGTTCTAGCGACACAGGATGAGAGTATGTTGGAGTGGTTAATATTATACAGTTGATGTCAATCTCATGTCATTGCATCAAATACTAAAAGGAAACTTTCTGCATGTAAAACTGCATTAATTATTTTTATAAATCCCCCTCTCCCCCCAAAAACAGGCTCTCTCACCATTCAGTAAATTGTGGTTGTTGAACTGATGTTGGCAGAAGCTTTCTGTAAATTGAGAGTTTTGAAGATGCGTCCCAACAGTTTAACAACATTTGATGCAGGGACTCCACTCAAAATACAGTCATGATGAAGCTTCCTTATAGTGAATACTTCTTGGGCCTTTTTGTTTTGTTTTTTTTTTTTTTTAATTTCCATCCGTTTTCTCATTTTGTGTTTCAGAAATTGTTTTTTTTCTTGTCTCTTTTTACCAGTTATGTTCTTAATTGTTTAATTTTAAATGTGTTTGAAAATGGTTTAGTATTTGTATTTTGTGTGTTTATGGAAGTTCCTAGTGTATCTTCTGAAATGGTATCATGGACACCTTTTTACATGTGTTTAAAAATGTTTCAAAACAGTTTCCAACATATCTACCTCTTTATCGGCCATAAGGTTTCACAACTGTAAACAATTTAACTGGAGAAAAGCCATTTTTTGTATTCTCCAAGGAGGCCCAATTTCTGTACTGACTTATTACAGATAATCATTTGAAAATATGGTCACTTTGAATTACGTTGTACTAGTTCAAACACTTTCCAGTTTTGCTCATCTAAAAATTACAAAATAAAAATAAACATATTTATTTAATAAATAAATTATTCTGTGCTAAAATAGATTCAAGGCTGGTGGGAGGGATGGATATTAAGAAGTAACAATACTTGAATAAATAAGAACAATTAGCATTGGTTTTCATTTCTAGTTGATGCATTCTTGATTGAAACTAAAAACAAAAATGAATTTTTAAGTCGGACTCACTAATAAATACCATAATTCAAAAATTCAAAATATTCTTAATTGAAACTAAAAGAAATAAAAATGAATTAAAATAATTGAAATATGACTAACTAAAAGCCAATAAATCCAAAATATCTTTATTGAAATAAGAAAAAAAAGAAAAAATAGACTTTTTTAAATTGTACCTTGCACAGCTTGGCTGGGTTATGTCTCTGGGTTATTTATTCTTTTTCTTAATTGTTGAAGCAAAAAAAATAATGAATTAGTTGAAGTATGATTAAAAAAAAAAAAAGAAAATACAAAAATTCAAAATATTCATTGAA